AGCCCGAGAGGCAGCAGGCACCGCGTCCCAGAGGAAAGGCCGTGAGCTGGCCATCCAGAGAGCACCTGGGGAGAAGATGGCAGGCGCGCGGCCGGCCACGGCTTCCTGGCGCTTCCTGGCGAAGTCGCTGATCTTCCAGACGAAGACCCCGTCGTAGGCGGCTGCCTCCATCTCCTGGATCTTCTGCTCCAGGTCAGCCATCGCCAGGTCCTTCAGCCCGATGCTGCGCTCCAGCTGCTGCACCTGCCGGGGGACACAGGGAACCCGCTGGATGGACGGCGTGCCTGCTGAGGCCCCGGGGCACAAGGGAGGGTCCTGGGGACCCTTCCCAGCTCCAACTCTGGGCCCAGAGCTCACGGAGATAAGCCACCGCGGGCCACCCGCCGTTTCCTGTGGGCGGTGTTTCCATGGTGACCGGCAGCCCAGGGCTCTGTCCCCCAAGGTCCCCACAGACAGAAAATGCATCCTGCTGTTACTGAAGAACCAGCTGGGCGTCAGGCCCATCCTGACAAGGTAGCCCTGCCGCCTCCCGGCCTCTGAGCCCCGAGTCTGCTCCATCAGCTCATGACGACTAAGGATATTTCACCCAGAAATCAAGGAGACAGAGCACAGAATGGGACAGACAGGACCGGAGTCTGAAGATCCAGGCTCTAAGCTGGTGGCGCCGTCCTGAGACCCGGCTCTAAAATCCCCGACCACGAGAAGCCCAGTGTCAGAAGGCGGGACTGCCCCAACGCGGCTGTGTGCCAACCTTGCTGCTGAGGGCCTCAATCTTTTCCTGGTCGAGCCGGTGCTGCCGGCCACAGGCCTCCGCCGTCATGGCCACCCGCTCCACCTCCCGGTTCAGGACGCAGACGATGTTCTCGAACGTGGCCGTCTTCCTCTCCAAGGTGTCGCACCTCTCCAGAAGCCCGGCCGGCTCCGGGAGCCCCGGCACCCTGGCCTCCCAGCCCTCGTCTCCAGAGAGGTGCTTCGCCTCCAGGATGCGGCCCAGCAGCAGGCCCAGGTGCTCCTGAAGCCGCTGCGCCTCGTGCTCCTGCTGCTGCTCCCTTTCCACCTGTGGAGACCACAAAGGGCACTGGCACCACCCAACTCTGCACAGGGACCCTGGGACAGGCACCTGCCCGCTACCGGCCCAACCCAGGCCCAGGGACCCAGGGTCAGGTACCCAGCTGCCGCTGGCCCAACCCAGGCACAGCTATGGGGGAGAGGAATTGGCCCACTGCTGACCTGAACCAGGCACAGGGACCCGGGTGTGGGGAGAGGGTGCAGAAACCAAGGCGCTGGCCTGGCAAGGTGGAGATGTCCATGACGCATAGGGGGGCATCAACAGTGGACACCACACGTGGGGTTTCTCAGCGTGGAGACCACGAGACCACCAAGGGCAGGGACAGGGATGAGCGGGGCCACTCTAACTCTGCAGGAGGGGTCGGGGAGGGCTCTGCGGAAGGGCCGAGGGGGTGGCTGGGAGGTGGGGGTACTGGGGCGGGCCACGTCCTCGAAGGGGAGGAGGAGGGGATGCCACCTCGAAAGCCCGAATGGAGAAACCCCACCCACCTGCCCACCTATGTGAGGGTCTCACCATGTCGGGGCAGCCGAAGGCCTGGAACCGACAGGGTGCTCTGCACTTGCCACAGGTCCTCACGTGCTCCTGGAACTAGAGTCAGCGATGGCTCACCCCGCGCACCCGTTACCACGGCCCCACCTCGGCACTGCACAGGATGAACCGTCCAGAGACGCGGGGCACACCACCGCCCGCTGGCCTCCTCACCCCCACGTCGCAGAAAGCAACACGCACACGCGCGCACGTGCCCTCACATGCGCAGACGCAGGCGTACACGCACGCTCACCCTAGCTTGTTCACGCCCCGGGGGGCACGGACCCAGGGGCGTCTCGGGGTGCCTACAGAGACCCCGCCCCATGTTTACAGGTAGCTGAGTACCACACAGAAAGCAGCCTTGTCACCTCTGTCGTGTCTACAAGTCACGGCCCAGGAAGGCCCCAGGGCCTTGGAACCTGAGGCCTGGACTGGACACCGAGGCGCGACTGAGGAGGGCCAGCCTTTCCGCCGTCAGTACCCCGTCGTGAACTCAAACGACAATGGCACACGAAAACCAGACCGGCGAGACGGGAAGAAAACCCAGCAAGGGCCCAGTGCGCTGGACGTCTGGTACGTGTACAGAGGTGGCAACTCAGGTCGGTGGGGACGGGCATGTGGGAACGCAACAGCGGGCCCATCCACTGGCTGCGTCCCAGCGTGTTGGATTCAAATGTGGAAACAGCAGAGGAAGGAGGTGTCCCCCACATCAGCGGGGGGATGGTCCTAATGGAACCAAACCCAGAAGCAGTGCTGGGAAAACCTGCCCAGCAGCCCAAAGAACAGACAAAACAAAAGGCCCAGAGCAGAGTGAATGGGCAGAGAGTAGCAGCTCCCACCACAGAGGCCCAACCCCTTGTGTGGAGGGTTCCAGGAACAGGACAGGAAGCCCCCAGCCCCACGGGGAACGCGCCATGCACAGATGCTGGGAGCTCAGGCCGCTCACCATGTGAAACACAAGCCCCCAGAACTACTCTCTTGTCCCACAGCATCCACCTGAAGGTCCGCCATCACCCTGCTGGCGGGCTAGCTCTCTCACGGCACCACCACGGGTGCCTATACCGGGGGGCACAGCCTGGGGCTCGGCGGGGGACACAGGTGCTTGAACCAGGGGCACGGCCCGGGGCTCGGCGGGGGACACAGGTGCTTGAACCAGGAGCACGGCCCGGGGCTCAGCGGGGGACACAGGTGCCAGGGGCACGGCCCGGGGCTCAGGTGGTGTCTGCACCAGCACTCTCAGCTCTCAGGGTAAGCGACCCCCACACCCAGCCCAACAAAAATGCAGAACTTTACAAAGAATTGCTTTTCCTACTAATTCTCAACCTCCTTCGCTAACACCTTCCCTCCGGAGCAGCCTTCTCCACAGCACAGGAGGCATGTTACTCAGCCGGAAATCGGAGTAACGCAGCCTCCCTGCTGAAGCCTGGACGTCCCCTGTTCCTTCTGACAGACACACAGCTGTCACTACACCCCAACCACCCGCCACAGACACGAAGCTGCCGAATCACCACCAGAATTTCTGGTAAAACGCAGTTGGAGGGTGATGTAACTTGAATGCTTAATTTCAAGTAATTAATAAAGTATTCACCCAAAAGAAAGTACCAGCGTTGCCATCGAGTTGACCCCGACTCATGGCGACCAGGTCAGCGTCAGAGTAGAACTGTGCTCCATGTGGTTTTCAATGGCTGCTGTTTCAGAAGATTGCCAGGCCTTTCTTCCAAGGCATCTCTGGGTAGACTCAAACCTCCAACCTTCCGGCTAGCAGCTAAGCACTTAACCGTCTGCACCAACCAGGGATTCATCCAATGTATGTTGGAAACGTTTTAAAAAGGGCTCCCAACTCAGCCGCTTGGCTACTGGTCCTCTCAGGAGCTGGCTGGTGATGTGAGTGACGTGCCTGCTCCCGAGACACCGACCCACTTGATGAGGCCCTTGGCACAGGGCCGCAGGGTGTAACCTAGCCACACCTCGCAACCCTAACTCTCCTCGCAACATTCACCTCCATCCGCGCAGTTCCGGAATCGACAAGTGACTTACCTTCTCTCGTAGGATCTTCTTCTTGCCGCAGCCTTCGCAGGTCAGGGGGAGCTTGGGGCAGACCTCACAGTGCGCCTGAAAGGAAGTGTCAGGAGGCATGAGGGTGGGTCATGGAAGACCCCCGGGGAGGCTCAGAGCACGCAGGCCTCCGCCAGGAGCCTTGTTCAGACCAGGCCGGGACGGCGTGCCTCCTCCTTCACCCTGACAGCCCCACAGTAGCACCAGGGACACAAAGCCCCGACGTGTTCTGAAACGTGCCCGTCGCCATCCACACCCCTTGCTGAAGCAGTGGGCCTACATGTCAACAGGAACCCGGGCGGCCGGGAGTCCCAGCCCCCACAGGACACTGCAGGTGTGCTCAGTACGGCTGCCGGTCTGAGCGGCCTCCGGGCCTGACCGCTCCCAGGAACCCAGGGAGATGGGCACATCAGAAACAGCATGGGGTACAGTCAGCAAAACCGAAGGACAGGAGGCAACGTTTCTTCAGCAAAGGCAAGAAAAAGGGAGTCAGCAGGACCATGAAAGATAAGGTGACGCAGAGGAACTTGAGCCAGTGTGTGTGGGCGCATCCAGGTCCTGAGTCGTCAACCCCACGGGCAGGGACGAACGGCCAGGCACCACAGGGACTGCACAAGGCAGACTGCCCACCAGGGACGACCACCAACACCTCACTGTGACAGGACGTCAGTCCGCACGGACAACGCCCCTGCCTTCCGGAAGCGTGCTCTGAAGACCTCAGACAAGGGGACCTGCTTCAAGGATGGGGTCGGGGGCTACGAGGCCATAGGGTGAGGCCCCAGGGAGCTGAGGGCATTGCCCCACCCCGCCCCAGGAGCAGCCAGCTATCACTTACCTGCAGGTCAGCCCAGCAGCAGGGGGCCTTGCAGTGCGGGCAGCTGAGGCTGCGCTCCGGGCACTCGAGCTCAGCGTGGCGCTGCTTCTCGCTCAGGCGCACGGTGGCCTTGCAGGCGGGGCACTCGGTCAGCATGAATGGGCAGTGTCCCTCGTGGCCGCTCTGAAGCAGTAAGGGACGAGGGTGTCACTGGGGCAACATGGGCACCTGGACCCCTCTGTGGGCCGCACCACCCAGCTCCCATGCCTGCTGGCCTTGGGCTGGGGCCCCACCAAAAGCCCAGCAGTGACCCCTTGTGTTCTAAAGGACCCCCCGTCCCGGTTTTCTCCTCTTGGGTGTTGCTCGTCCGACAGTGGGTGCTTCGTCCACTCCAGGAAGGAGCATCCCCAGGGCAGGCCCTGAGACCCTGTGCCAACCCTCAGCAGTGCCACAAGGCACCCAGTCCAAAGAGCACTCACGTCTGCACAGACGGACGCCACCGCGGGAGGCTGGACGGCAGCCCGTGACCCTGGGGGAGGAGTGGCCTGTAGCTCTCTGGAGCTGCCGCCTCCCCCAGGAAACCTGCTGGCTCGAACCGTGACACCCAGAATCCAACCCCTGCCACCACGTGGGAGCCTGTCCTGCCAGAGACACCCCCCAGCCCTGCTGTCCCAAGAACTCTGCTCTCTTGGCAGGAGCTGCTGCAGGACACCTGGCTGCACGGGGCAGACGGAGGAGGTGAAAGGGCTGGACTCGACGTGCCGAGAGCCACGCGGACGTGCGGAGAGGGGCGAGAGAGACGGCTGCAGGTCTCCAGGGCCCCGCTCATGGCCTCCTGGGGTGGGCACCCTCTGCACTCTAACCTCATGTGCAGACCAAGGGGCGTCCACGGCCAGCAGACACGCAGCAGGCAGAGGCAGTCGGGAGCGGATGTGCTCACAGCTGCCCAGACGCCAGGGTGGGCACAAGCCTCGCTTGGAGACCACGTGAGCACCCCGTGCCCCTACTCACCACCCAGGCTGGGAATGAGGCAGAATGAGGGCACTGCCCGGGCCTCTCCCCAGATCGCATGCTGCCCCCCGGCTGGCCCTGCCACTCCCAGCGATAACCCTGCAGAGGCCCCACCGCAGCCCAGCTCCCCTCCTTCCTGCCCCCACCACCCCGTGACTGAAAGGCCTGGTGACTGCAGCCAGTGTCCTGAGCGCCTGACCCTGTCACTCTCCCCTGCCTTTCCCGTCCCTCTTCCCCCACCCACCCAGGGCGTGTCCCTGAAGGAAGACCTTCAAAGGGGCCGGCGTTCCTGCCCCCAAGGTCCCCAGGCGCCCCTGCCCCATCAACCTCGCCTACAAAAAATGAGGCAGTCAGAACCATGAGGAAATGCTCATGGTGACGGAATGCGATGTCCTGCAATTGCTTTCAAATAAACCAGAAAATAAAGAATATTGTGTGGGGGTGAAACCAGCCCAGCAGAAGTGATAACTGCTGGAGACGGAGGGGGTGGGTACATGGGGCCACACATCCAGCGTCACGACTCTGGACGCTCCATCCCCAGGGGAAGCTAGAGTCCTCAACCTGCGGCGGACGGCAGACGCTGTCCCTGCCACCAAAGACGGGGCACTCGCCCACACAGGGCCTCCACCTCGCGGCAGGCGGCGCTGCAGGGAAAGCCGGGGAGAGAACCAGGCCTGGTCAGGCTGCCTCCTGCCCGCTCCTCACAAGACCCAATCCAGTGGCGTCACAGGAGTGGCTGACGCTCAGAGACCAGCACACACTGGCCTCAAATGACTGGACAATGCTCAGACCCCCGAC